TATTGTCTATTCCAGATGTAAGTATGGAGGAAATGTCTATCCTGGATGTAAGTGTTGAGGAAATGTCTATTCCAGATGTATGTGTGGAGGAAATGTCTATTCCAGATGTAAGTGTGGAGGAAATGTCTTTCCTAGATGTAAGTGTGGAGGAAATGTCTATTCCAGATGTAAGTGTGGAGGAAATGTCTATCCTGGATGTGAGTGTGGAGGAAATGTCTATTCCAGATGTAAGTGTGGAGGAAATGTCTTTCCTGGATGTGAGTGTGGAGGAAATGTCTATTCAAGATGTAAATGTTGAGGAAATGTCTATTCCAGATGTAAGTGTGGAAGAAATGTCTATTCCAGATGTAAGTGTGGAGGAAATGTCTATTCCAGATGTAAGTGTGGAGGAAATGTCTATTCCAGATGTGAGTGTGGAGGTATTGTCTATTCCAGATGTAAGTGTGGAGGAAATGTCTATTCGAGATGTAAGTGTGGAGGAAATGTCTATTCCAGATGTAAGTGTGGAGGAAATGTCTATCCTGGATGTAAGTGTTGAGGAAATGTCTATTCCAGATGTATGTGTGGAGGAAATGTCTATTCCAGATGTAAGTGTGGAGGAAATGTCTATCCTAGATGTAAGTGTGGAGGAAATGTCTATTCCAGATGTAAGTGTGGAGGAAATGTCTATTCCAGATGTAAGTGTGGAGGAAATGTCTTTCCTGGATGTGAGTGTGGAGGAAATGTCTATTCAAGATGTAAATGTTGAGGAAATGTCTATTCCAGATGTAAGTGTGGAGGAAATGTCTATTCAAGATGTAAGTGTGGAGGAAATGTCTATTCCAGATGTAAGTGTGGAGGAAATGTCTATTGCAGATGTAAGTGTGGAGGTAATGTCTATCCTATATGTAAATGTGGAGGTAATGTCTATCCTAGATGTAAGTGTGGAGGAAATGTCTATTCCAGATGTAAGTATGGAGGTAATGTCTATCCTGTATGTGAGTGTGGAGGAAATGTCTATTCCAGATGTAAGTGTGGAGGAAATGTCTATTCCAGATGTGAGTGTGGAGGTATTGTCTATCCTGTATGTGAGTGTGGAGGAAATGTCTATTCCAGATGTAAGTGTGGAGGAAATGTCTATCCTAGATGTAAGTGTTGAGGAAATGTCTATTCCAGATGTAAGTGTGAAGGAAATGTCTATTCCAGATGTAAGTGTGGAGGAAATGTCTATTCCAGATGTAAGTGTTGAGGAAATGTCTATTCCAGATGTAAGTGTGGAGGAAATGTCTATTCCAGATGTAAGTGTGGAGGAAATGTCTATTCCAGATGTAAGTGTTGAGGAAATGTCTATTCCAGATGTAAGTGTGGAGGAAATGTCTATTCCAGATGTAAGTGTGGAGGAAATGTCTATTCCAGATGTAAGTGTGGAGGAAATGTCTATTCCAGATGTAAGTGTGGAGGAAATGTCTATTCCAGATGTAAGTGTGGAGGAAATGTCTATTCCAGATGTAAGTGTGGAGGAAATGTCCATTCCAGATGTAAGTGTGGAGGAAATGTCTATTCCAGATGTAAGTGTCGAGGTAATGTCTATCCTGTATGTGAGTGTGGAGGAAATGTCTATTCCAGATGTAAGTGTTGAGGAAATGTCTATCCTGTATGTGAGTGTGGAGGAAATGTCTATTCCAGATGTAAGTGTGGAGGAAATGTCTATTCCAGATGTAAGTGTGGAGGAAATGTCTATTCCAGATGTAAGTGTGGAGGAAATGTCTATTCCAGATGTAAGTGTGGAGGTATTGTCTATTCCAGATGTAAGTGTGGAGGAAATGTCTATTCCAGATGTAAGTGTGGAGGAAATGTCTATTCCAGATGTAAGTGTGGAGGAAATGTCTATTCCAGATGTAAGTGTGGAGGAAATGTCTATTCCAGATGTAAGTGTGGAGGTAATGTCTATCCTGGATGTAAGTGTTGAGGAAATGTCTATTCCAGATGTAAGTGTGGAGGAAATGTCTATTCCAGATGTAAGTGTGGAGGTATTGTCTATCCTGTATGTGAGTGTGGAGGAAATGTCTATCCTGTATGTGAGTGTGGAGGAAATGTCTATTCCAGATGTAAGTGTGGAGGAAATGTCTATTCCAGATGTAAGTGTTGAGGAAATGTCTATTCCAGATGTAAGTGTGGAGGAAATGTCTATTCAAGATGTAAATGTCGAGGAAATGTCTATTCCAGATGTAATTGTGGAGGAAATGTCTATTCCAGATGTAAGTGTGGAGGAAATGTCTATTCCAGATGTAAGTGTCGAGGTAATGTCTATCCTATATGTAAATGTGGAGGTAATGTCTATCCTAGATGTAAGTGTGGAGGAAATGTCTATTCCAGATGTAAGTGTGGAGGAAATGTCTATCTTGGATGTAAGTGTGGAGGAAATGTCTATTCCAGATGTAAGTGTGGAGGAAATGTCTATTCCAGATGTAAGTGTGGAGGAAATGTCTATCCTGTATGTGAGTGTGGAGGAAATGTCTATTCCAGATGTATGTGTGGAGGAAAAGTCTATTCCAGATGTAAGTGTGGAGCTATTGTCTATCCAAGATGTAAGTGTGGAGGTATTGTCTTTCCCAGATGGAATTGTGGGGGTAATGTCTATCCTAGATGTAATTGTGGGGGTAATGTCTATCCTAGAAGTAATTGTAGGGGTAATGTCTATCCTAGATGTAAGTGTGGAGGTATTGTCTATCCTAGATGTAAGTGTGGAGGAAATGTCTATTCCAGATGCAAATGTTGAGGAAATGTCTATTCCAGATGTAAGTGTCGAGGAAATGTCTATTCCAGATGTAAGTGTGGAGGAAATGTCTATTCCAGATGTAAGTGTGGAGGAAATGACTATCTTGGATGTGGGTGTGGAGGAAATGTCTATTCCAGATGTGAGTGTTGAGGAAATGTCTATTCCAGATGTAAGTGTGGAGGAAATGTCTATTCCAGATGTAAGTGTGGAGGTATTGTCTATCCCAGATGTAAGGGTGGAGGTAATGTCTATCCTGTCTATCACCATCAAAGACGTATATAGATCTGTGTACGTCTTTAGTGCAATACTACTGAACGTGGATAAAGCAATAGTCAGTTACTCAGACGTCACCAGTCAACAGTGTACCTGCATGACATAAGGCACATTGTCTTCATGTCTCCGTGTTAATCATGTCCTGTAGGAAAACGTGGCATAGAAAAGTAACCACTGACGACCCGGCTGGCTGACAAGAGCTCTGACATATGTGCCGCTATTATTACCGAGACCTGACAAGCGACAACTGCTACTGCTGGAGGCACTTCACGCGTGATGTCACCAGACGGATGTTCTATTACGCGCGGTCAAGCAGCATGAGATAACAGTTTGACATCTGTGTTTACGGCCCTGTACAGTAATACATCAGCCGTATGCAGGAAGACCCACCCTGCATACCGTAAACTAAGGCAGACCGTGTTCATCTAACGTGCATGATCGATTGGGACACAAACACTATTAATACAGCTTACCCCAATAATACATTGTCCACTCATTTAGACTCAATAAAAACACATGCTTTATAATTCAGATCAATTTCACGAAACGATGTATTGTCACACTTCTTTCGTTTGAGGTACGAATTAATAAGTCAGTTAAAATTTAACGTCGCATCGGCATTATTTTCAACCATATAGCGACGAGACGAATAAGTAAGACAGGTATTTCTCCAAGCGTGGAAATACAAACAAGGGACATATCTAAGCGCTGTGTAAAGTGCATATTATTGTTGAAAGTTGAATGTCGTTCTCACCTGCGGTGCACTAGCATTTAGGTTTGAGATGGGTTGTCAATCAAAGATTGGCCCAACAGAGCTATAGTGGTTGGTTCTGGTCCTGTCGTTCGTTCTATTGCATGTTAGACATGTTCTCTAGGCGAGGTGTCTGGAGAAACAGGTGGCCATGGCAGTGCAGCAATAGTATGCTGCCCCAAAAAGTCGGTTACAACACGTGCAACATGTGGGCGGGGATTATTCTGCTGTAACGTGACGTTACGTCCCTGCATTGCACAAAGGGCAGAACATGTTCTCAAATGATATCTTCCCGATAACGTACGCCATTCAAATTGCCATAAACAATGATCAGTTGTGTTCTCACATGAGCTGTGATGCCACCCCATACCATATCCACCCCCAAACTGACGACGTTGTGTAACGCAAGCGTCGCTAAAATGTTCTCCTGGACCCTTGCACGACCACCTGTCAATAGTATACTGTTCTATTCTTGTCTTCTGAACCTCAGATGCTGTCTATGTCAAGCTAGGCATCTCTGACGGTGACGTGGAAGCAAAATAGGGCCGGATGTCATGCTCCGTCAATCTGTTGCGGACGATTGTACCATGGATTGGTCTCAACCTGGGGACTGTCCGAGCTGTTAATGTGGCAGTTTGGTATCGATTCCGCAGGTGCACCCACCGAATATGGTTGTGTTGACGTGACGTCACACGTGGACGACCGACCAGTGGCAAGTCATGAGTGTTGCCTGCCGTAGATAACGTCTCCATAGAGATACTATTGTTTCGATGAACAACCTCGTTTTGCACCATTTCTGTTTGCAGCATACCCAAGGTGCGTAGACGTTGATTTCAAGCACGCCGTGACATTCTGAAGCGTTATTTACGGTTAAACGAAGGCGGATATGATTGCTGAAGAATCAGTGTGTGCTGTTCACATTAAAAAAAAACGTGTGTGCTCATCGATTATCATGCTCCCAACAATCACACAACCATCCATATTGTGCGCCATACATTCACATGCACGTGCAAATTGTGAATCACGACCTTAAAGTCAAAGGAGATGTCTTCATGAATAGTTATTGAAAGATGCATTAATTCATTTCAGCACAGATTTTTTAAAGCTTTTTATGAAGCATGGTTACTTTTCCCCCGAAAGTATGGAATCAAGTCTCCGTGATTCTTGGATTTCAGTTGGAGACAGAAACAAGACGCGTAATAATAACATAACACCACAAGCAGTTATGCTGTTTATTTACATTTTATTATAAAAATTCCATTATTTTCACCGTCAACAGTTGGTTTGGTCCTGAAGTGCAGCGACAACGCGGACAAGTGTACATTGATGTATGTATATGTCTCCTGCCAAACCAGACGTGTTATTTGCACTTTGAACATGTATATATATAAAGTCGGATAGAAACACGAGTAAGGCCATTACTACTACACAGTTGATACATGGGTACCCATCACTCCAAGATTCCTATTGCGCCAATTTGAACAGACATTCATTTATTCGATCTTATATTCGTTCATTCATCCAAGTATTTCTATGGTGAAACACCCGCTTTCATTCCATCGTCCTTCCATCCATTACCATGTTCTCCTCTAACTATTAGCAAACGTATGATTTATATAAAGGGGGTACGTGTATATTCTTGCCCTCTAGGCGCCATGGAACAGTGCTTCTGACGCGTGCAAGTTATCTTGGTGCTTTACTGCTTGAATCAATCCCAACCTTCATTCTCAGTGATTGCGGTCAGATTGTTTTCACGAACATATGGATAATGGTAAAGCAATAGTAAAATGTACACAACGCACGAAAACATGAATTACAAGTGAATGGTTTCTTTAGACATGTTACACATGAAGATCCGGGTCTTCAGTAACCCATGCTTGTTGTAAGAGGCGACTTACGGGATCGGGCGGTCAGGCTCGCTGACTTGGTTTATGCATGTCATCGTATCCCAATTGCGGCGCTGGATGCACCTGATATCAATCACTGGATTGTCTGGTCCAGACTCGATCATTTACAGATCGCCATCATATAGCTGTAATATTGCTGAGTGCGGCGTTAAACAACAAACAAACAGACAAACGTTAGACAACGTCTCCAATGTCGACCCTCTACAGAGCACCAGATTCCAACATTGGCTCACGCACTATGGCAGTTGGGTTGCGAGGCATTTGTTCTCCCCGTAGCCCTTCTCCTATATACCCCTTACAGCCTTGGCTGTGTCCAGTCTGCAGAAATATTGTATTGTAAATGTACTAACTATTATTCTCTAACCACACACGCCTGCACCGGATCAAGAGGTCTCTTCGTATACTCTGAGCTATCTGCCCAGTACTGCTGTCAGACAGACGAGTCCACCAACAAACAGGGATGATGCGTGAACCCTTGTACCAATGTTTCCGTCCTTAACATTTACTTTTGTAGTAGTTGTCTCTTGGCCCATCGTCTGTACCACAGTGTCGTCTGGTGTTTGAGTGGCAGGTTTCTGGAACAACCGGAAGTAAAGATACAATACATGATAGCAACTGGTACCACAGAGAGAGAGAGCGAGAGAGAGAGAGAGAGAGAGAGAGAGAGAGAGAGAGAGAGAGAGAGAGAGAGAGAGAGAGTTGCAGGTGTATATCTATTAACTTACCGTGTTTTGGTGTGTCATCCCGGAAGTATGGCTGGGGACGACAGACGAAGTATTTCTCGGAGTTGGAGTCGTTGCTGTCGCTGGCTCTGTGACTGATGGTGTGGTAACAGATGTTGTAGTTGATTGTGTCGTCGTAGTCGGTGTTGTGGTAACCACTGGTGTTGTGAGAGTTGTAGTCGGAGTTTCTGTAGTAGTAGTAGTAGTAGTCGGAGGTGTAGTTGTAGTAGGAGTTGTAGTTGTAGTTGTAGTCGGAGTTGTGGTTGTAGTCGGTGTTGTAGTAGTAATAGGAGTTGTAGTAGTTTGAGTTGTAGTAGTCTGAGTAGTAGTAGTAGTAGTAGAAGTAGTCTGAGTTGTAGTAGTAGAAGTAGTCTGAGTTGTAGTAGTAGGTGGTGTAGTAGTTGGTGTCGTTGTGGTGGTAGTAGTCATTGTTGTAGTTGTCGTTGTGGTTGTAGTAGGAACTGTAGTTGTTGTCTCCGTAGCGGGCCTTAAAACTGCTGACGTCACCCCAGTCCAATAAGTGCTGAATGTCTCCACGAAAGTCACTCTACAAGATAAATGCTCATGCCTAAATAAGGAAGTAATGGCAAAAAAAACACAACATGCTCATTCGGCAGGCCTGCACCAGGCAACGCAATGGTTAGTGTCGATCCATGACGCAAAGCGGAGGTATATTTCATCAGTAGTGGGTATGATGGGGGTTCTGCAGTTCCTGCCTGTGGCAGACCTATGATGATCCCTTCAGGGAAATCCGCGACCAGCTTTCTTAGTGAGCCGGGTCACAGCAAAGATGGGTCTTCAAGGGGTTCCTATCGACGATTCGGTCCTAACAATGCATACCTGAATGAGGGCTTTTCCCAACAATTTCGTATTTTACAAGTATGATATATACTGTCTGTCCCGAGGTCTGCCTGTGACATTATTTACAAGACGGAATTTAATGGTTGTGTTTTAGACTTCTATTTCAGACAAACATACTCACCTGACTTGCAGGTTGCCTTGCTGTGCTGGTGGCGCCCGCCACGTGGTCATCAGGGAGAATCGAGGTGTGCTTGCTTGCTGTGTCACGCCGCCATTCTGGGGATACGTTGAAAAAGGAGATGAGTGACCGAAATATCATGTTTCATATTTTAACTATCCCCAGTATAACATTAACTCATTTCTTAAAAGATTTGCAAGCAATAAGAATCTGAAAAAAATACAAAGTCAGGCTTCAGACAGAGGTAAAGTAAATACCTCAGGGCTTCACCCAGTACACAGTGGTCTGGCTACAGAATGGATAAAGTATACACATACGAACGTCCCCCAGTACACAGTGGTCTGGCTACAGAATGGATAAAGTATACACATACGAACATCCCCCAGTACACAGTGGTCTGGCTACAGAATGGATAAAGTATACACATACGAACGTCCCCCAGTACACAGTGGTCTGGCTACAGACGGGATAAAGTATACACATACGAACATCCCCCAGTACACAGTGGTCTGGCTACAGACGGGATAAAGTATACACATACGAACATCCCCCAGTACACAGTGGTCTGGCTACAGACGGGATAAAGTATACACATACGAACATCCCCCAGTACACAGTGGTCTGGCTACAGACGGGATAAAGTATACACATACGAACATCCCCCAGTACACAGTGGTCTGGCTACAGACGGGATAAAGTATACACATACGAACATCCCCCAGTACACAGTGGTCTGGCTACAGAATGGATAAAGTATACACATACGAACGTCCCCCAGTACACAGTGGTCTGGCTAAAGAATGGATAAAGTATACACATACGAACGTCCCCCAGTACACAGTGGTCTGGCTACAGAATGGATAAAGTATACACATACGAACGTCCCCCAGTACACAGTGGTCTGGCTACAGACGGGATAAAGTATACACATACGAACGTCCCCCAGTACACAGTGGTCTGGCTACAGACGGGATAAAGTATACAAATACGAACATCCCCCAGTACACAGTGGTCTGGCTACAGAATGGATAAAGTATACACATACGAACGTCCCCCAGTACACAGTGGTCTGGCTACAGACGGGATAAAGTATACAAATACGAACATCCCCCAGTACACAGTGGTCTGGCTACAGAATGGATAAAGTATACACATACGAACATCCCCCAGTACACAGTGGTCTGGCTACAGAATGGATAAAGTATACACATACGAACGTCCCCCAGTACACAGTGGTCTGGCTACAGAATGGATAAAGTATACACATACGAACGTCCCCCAGTACACAGTGGTCTGGCTACAGACGGGATAAAGTATACACATACGAACATCCCCCAGTACACAGTGGTCTGGCTACAGACGGGATAAAGTATACACATACGAACATCCCCCAGTACACAGTGGTCTGGCTACAGACGGGATAAAGTATACACATACGAACATCCCCCAGTACACAGTGGTCTGGCTACAGACGGGATAAAGTATACACATACGAACGTCCCCCAGTACACAGTGGTCTGGCTACAGACGGGATAAAGTATACACATACGAACATCCCCCAGTACACAGTGGTCTGGCTACAGACGGGATAAAGTATACACATACGAACATCCCCCAGTACACAGTGGTCTGGCTACAGAATGGATAAAGTATACACATACGAACATCCCCCAGTACACAGTGGTCTGGCTACAGAATGGATAAAGTATACACATACGAACATCCCCCAGTACACAGTGGTCTGGCTACAGACGGGATAAAGTATACACATACGAACGTCCCCCAGTACACAGTGGTCTGGCTACAGACGGGATAAAGTATACACATACGAACGTCCCCCAGTACACAGTGGTCTGGCTACAGACGGGATAAAGTATACACATACGAACATCCCCCAGTACACAGTGGTCTGGCTACAGAATGGATAAAGTATACACATACGAACATCCCCCAGTACACAGTGGTCTGGCTACAGAATGGATAAAGTATACACATACGAACATCCCCCAGTACACAGTGGTCTGGCTACAGAATGGATAAAGTATACACATACGAACATCCCCCAGTACACAGTGGTCTGGCTACAGACGGGATAAAGTATACACATACGAACGTACCCCAGTACACAGTGGTCTGGCTACAGAATGGATAAAGTATACACATACGAACGTCCCCCAGTACACAGTGGTCTGGCTAAAGAATGGATAAAGTATACACATACGAACGTCCCCCAGTACACAGTGGTCTGGCTACAGACGGGATAAAGTATACACATACGAACGTCCCCCAGTACACAGTGGTCTGGCTACAGAATGGATAAAGTATACACATACGAACGTCCCCCAGTACACAGTGGTCTGGCTAAAGAATGGATAAAGTATACACATACGAACGTCCCCCAGTACACAGTGGTCTGGCTACAGACGGGATAAAGTATACACATACGAACGTCCCCCAGTACACAGTGGTCTGGCTACAGACGGGATAAAGTATACACATACGAACGTCCCCCAGTACACAGTGGTCTGGCTACAGAATGGATAAAGTATACACATACGAACGTCCCCCAGTACACAGTGGTCTGGCTAAAGAATGGATAAAGTATACACATACGAACATCCCCCAGTACACAGTGGTCTGGCTACAGACGGGATAAAGTATACACATACGAACGTCCCCCAGTACACAGTGGTCTGGCTACAGAATGGATAAAGTATACAAATACGAACGTCCCCCAGTACACAGTGGTCTGGCTACAGAATGGATAAAGTATACACATACGAACGTCCCCCAGTACACAGTGGTCTGGCTACAGACGGGATAAAGTATACACATACGAACATCCCCCAGTACACAGTGGTCTGGCTAAAGAATGGATAAAGTATACACATACGAACGTACCCCAGTACACAGTGGTCTGGCTACAGAATGGATAAAGTATACACATACGAACATCCCCCAGTACACAGTGGTCTGGCTACAGAATGGATAAAGTATACACATACGAACGTACCCCAGTACACAGTGGTCTGGCTACAGAATGGATAAAGTATACACATACGAACGTACCCCAGTACACAGTGGTCTGGCTACAGACGGGATAAAGTATACACATACGAACATCCCCCAGTACACAGTGGTCTGGCTACAGAATGGATAAAGTATACACATACGAACATCCCCCAGTACACAGTGGTCTGGCTACAGACGGGATAAAGTATACACATACGAACATCCCCCAGTACACAGTGGTCTGGCTACAGACGGGATAAAGTATACACATACGAACGTCCCCCAGTACACAGTGGTCTGGCTACAGACGGGATAAAGTATACACATACGAACATCCCCCAGTACACAGTGGTCTGGCTACAGAATGGATAAAGTATACACATACGAACATCCCCCAGTACACAGTGGTCTGGCTACAGACGGGATAAAGTATACACATACGAACATCCCCCAGTACACAGTGGTCTGGCTACAGACGGGATAAAGTATACACATACGAACGTCCCCCAGTACACAGTGGTCTGGCTACAGAATGGATAAAGTATACACATACGAACGTCCCCCAGTACACAGTGGTCTGGCTACAGAATGGATAAAGTATACACATACGAACGTACCCCAGTACACAGTGGTCTGGCTACAGACGGGATAAAGTATACACATACGAACGTCCCCCAGTACACAGTGGTCTGGCTACAGAATGGATAAAGTATACACATACGAACGTCCCCCAGTACACAGTGGTCTGGCTACAGAATGGATAAAGTATACACATACGAACGTACCCCAGTACACAGTGGTCTGGCTACAGAATGGATAAAGTATACACATACGAACATCCCCCAGTACACAGTGGTCTGGCTACAGACGGGATAAAGTATACACATACGAACGTACCCCAGTACACAGTGGTCTGGCTACAGAATGGATAAAGTATACACATACGAACGTCCCCCAGTACACAGTGGTCTGGCTACAGAATGGATAAAGTATACACATACGAACGTACCCCAGTACACAGTGGTCTGGCTACAGAATGGATAAAGTATACACATACGAACGTCCCCCAGTACACAGTGGTCTGGCTACAGACGGGATAAAGTATACACATACGAACATCCCCCAGTACACAGTGGTCTGGCTACAGACGGGATAAAGTATACACATACGAACGTACCCCAGTACACAGTGGTCTGGGTACAGAATGGATAAAGTATACACATACGAACGTCCCCCAGTACACAGTGGTCTGGCTACAGACGGGATAAAGTATACACATACGAACATCCCCCAGTACACAGTGGTCTGGCTACAGACGGGATAA